ATAGGTCTGAATGTTCTGTGAATTGTCTGTCTGTAAGGTGTGGCTACCTTGTTAGCATCGAAAAGTCTGTGTGTGTGTGTGTGTGTGTGTGTGTGTGTGTGTGTGTGTCTGCCTGCTAATTCAATAGCATGGAAAATGGGATTTCTTTGCTTACACATGGGTTTGAATGTTCTTAAGAACTGGCTGTTTATAGGTCTGAATGTTCTGTGAATTGTCTGTCTGTGAGCTTTGCCCATTCATCTATTAAGACGTTAGACTTTTCTTAGCCATTTAGAGAAAGGCTTTGGACGTAACAGATGCAAGTCGCAAATACAATGCCAAATCTTTCTGAGCTGACGACTCCTCAGATGCGATTCTGCAAAGGGCCGGAGCCTGTTCCACCTGCGAGCACATGTGGGTGTGTGCCACGGAGCTCCCGGGGTAGGGGTGTGTTTGCCCTCTGGTGTCTGCAGCTCGGGGAGGGCCATTTGTGGGGTAGGCAGGAAGTGGTACATCTGGTCCTTGTCCAGACTGGATGCTGTTTGCACAACTCCATGACCCCAGCTCCAGCCCAGTGACCAGACGCCAGCCTTGCCCCGTGTGCTGTCCCTTGTTGGTCTTAGAGCAGCGTGTCCTTTTGCCTGGGCTTCGAGTGTGACTTCCATAACAAAATTCTGCTGTTGCTTTAAAGGGTTTGTGGGGAACTAGCCCCAGGGGACCTGGCTGAAGGAATTGCTGTTTCTTGGAAGTTTCTTTCTCTTGTGCTTCAGTCTGGCTGGAGGAGAAAACAAGATGTTCTTTGGGGGACTTGCCATTAGCTAAGAGTGGCCCTTACCACTGGCCAGGTTACAGGAATCGGGAGGGGAGGAAGTCGGCATTTCCACGTGTGTCACCTGTCCAGCCAAGGGGACCCTAACCAGCCTGATGTGTTCAGCTCCTTGAAGGGCTTGCTTGTGTTTGTCATCCCTGCCTTCTGGCTTGGTGTGGGAGTAGCAGGGGTCATGGGGGAAGCTTTTAAACAGCTAATGGAGCAATTTAAAAAGTATTGCTCAGACTGAGCACGAGGAGGCATCGCTTCATCACCATCTGGAAGCGGGCTGGCTTTTGGATACCCCTGTTAATACCCATCTAATGGCGGTACCAGCTTGCAGGGTGAGTCAGTGGGTCAGTCCAGATGGCTGTTGCCGTGAATGGCGACGGAGGTGGAGGAGGCTGACCTGGCTTCTTTATCTCTGCGAGACTGGAGTCAGACAAGTCTCCAACCTCCATCCTTCTTTCCCTACTCGGACGCCGGCCGTTGCTCCTAGCCCGTTGTGCACCTATGCTGGGTTTGATCATCTGTGGCTGTGGCCACACTGAACTCACAGGTGATGCTCACGGCTAAGGGGGTTTATGAGGGGAGTCAATAGGCTACCCTGGTCCGATCCGCAAACAGCAAAGAGACAGTCATTGGTCTCCTCAGCCAGCAGTGAGGTCTCTCTTATGTTCTTAGCCCCTTGGTCACGTGGTCCTTTGGCCTTTGCCTCCCTGGGCCAAGAAGCCAACCTGTCCCGGGACCTGATAGTCCCTTAGTGCCAGGCCAGGTGAGGAGAAGGTATCCTGTAAGTCATGGCCCTGCTGCTTGGAGTCCCCTCGCCGCAGTCTGTCTGTACGTCCAGGCTTGGTGGCCTCTGCCGCTTTAGACTGAAACCTCGGAGGTCTTAATCTTCAAGATGCTCAGGGTTCTTGGCTGCTTCCTCAGAGATGGCTCCCCCTAGAGACAGAGGGGGCGTCACAGACCCCGACCAGTCCCCTCTAATTGTGTTGTGCCTGCCCGATTTGCATAGCCCCATCCAAGCCTTGGTTGGGAGTTGCAGGGACTTGGGGAGAAGAGCCACGTTACAACATTTCCCCCCCCCCCCCCTGACAGTAGGTCTATCACAGGTGTTGCTGCGTTCAGTAGCACTGACTTTGTAGGGGTGGAGTGGAGGGGTGAGGTGGGGGGAGCCTCCTGTTTGAAAATTGTGGTTGCCCGTGGCTCCTCTCCGCCTAGGGTTGCTGGGACATCTGTGATGGCTTAGAAACTCTTCTCCCACTGAATCTCCATGAGAGGCCTACTGCTCCTGAAGACATCCCTTCCCAGTTGCCTTTGCTAGCTCCGAGAACAGCTAAGCCAACCATATGTGTTTGGCTAGGTTGGCTAGAGAGACAAATCCAGTGACAGTCACGTATGTGTGAGAAAGCGCTTTCACATCCCAGCCCAGTCCAACTCATGCTCATAAGTCTGCTAGTAGTCTATAAGTCCCTCGTCAAGACTCACGCAGCCACATGCAATGATGCAGAATGCAGGAAGATCACAGGCCCTTGGGTGCAAAATCCTGTGGATCCAGTGGCAGTGGTCGCATCACAGGGCTCTGGCAACAACCAGGGTCAGGTAGCAGGCAGGTGAAGGCAGGGGCCCGGGGAGTTTCCCCGGACCCATCTTATGAGAAAGCCACGCCTACAAGGAATCACCATTAGGCTGATTGATACGTTGAATACCACCGCTACACTTGACGGGAGATTATGTAACTACGGCCCCATCCCTGCCCCCTTGGAACACCTCTAAACAAACTTCTCTCCCGGGTACGTGGGAGACTTTTTAATTTTATTTTTTATTGCGGTAGTTAGACCAGTAACACAACCTTCACACAGAGCGTCCCATTGTACTGCATTTGCTCTTCACATTGTTCAGCCGTCATCGTCCTGGAATAAAGCCTGCCCTAACGTGTCCGGCTGGTGTTTCCATAGAAATCGTGGATGGGAACGTGAAGATGACCCTGGGCATGATCTGGACCATCATCCTTCGCTTCGCCATCCAAGACATCTCTGTGGAAGGTAGGCTTCCTCTTCCCCGTGGCCACATCTCTGCCTCATCCTCCATCCCTGGGGGAAGAGGCCCTTGCTCATGGGCCATGTCCCGGGCGGGTGTCTGGCTGGTTTCCGGATCTTTGCCCACTCTCGCAGTCTATAGAGGGAAGAACTGTTTGGGGTGCTGGCTTTCACAGGCATGTTGGCCCCCAGGGAGCACCCACCCTGGGAGCCCCCAGGAGGTTGCCATGGGAGAGCAGCTATGTGGGAATGTGGGGAGAGCGTTGGTCCCATGTCCTCTGCCTCGCTCCCCGAGCGCCCTCTGGTGGCTGATCAGATAGAAGCAACTGTGTAGGCGCTTGAACCTTTTTGACTTTTAAAAATCGGAGTTAAAATATCATGTATTGTTTTTACCTAATTTTAATTCTTTCGTTGTGGTAAAAAAAATGTAATGGTATTTTCCATTTCAGCACTTTTTACACATGCAATTCAGCTGCATTGATGACATGCATTATGTTACATTACCTTACCATTGTTTCCAATTTTTTCACCCCTACCCACACCCCCCAGTCACTTTTTTTCCCCTTTCTTATCATTTTATTGGAGGGGGGGGGGGGAGCTCGTACAAATCTTACAACAATCCATCACTCAATTGTGTTAAGCACACTTATACATATGTTGCCATCATTTCCCTAACATTTCCTTTCTACTTGAGCCCTTGGTATCAGCTCCTCTTTTTTCCCTCCCTCCCCCACCGTCCCACCCTGTGAATCCTCGTGATCAGTTATATATTATTGTTGTTATTTCGTGTCTTACACTGTCTGTTGTCTCCCGTCACCCTCATTTCTGTCATTCATCCCCCAGGGGGGGCGGGGGGCTTTGTAGCCAGCCTTACGATGGGTCCGAGTCACTCTTAACAGAAGCCAAGGCACTGGAATCCTGAAATAGTTTTACTCGGAATCGTCTAAAAGTGAGCACAGTGGGGTCTAAAATTGGTTAGCTAGGGGAGTCTTAGTTTCATATCCGGGGAGGGGGGGGAGCGTGAAACCCCGTGAAGGTCTCTGTCCAGGCTCCAGCTTGTTGGTTGAAGTGGTTGAAAGGCCCACAGTCGTCCCGTGGACACGGTTCTTGTTCATGGTTACGGACCTGAATCCGTCTTTCAGCTAGCTTCCTTGTCAGCAGCCTTTTGGGCCGACTTATTGTCAGCTCTGGCCGAACCGTTCTGTGACATAGCTGAGACAGTGCGGGAACTGGGAGCTGTGTTAGATGCTAAGTGGGATCACATCGTGGGGGCACGCTCTGCTGAGCGCTGTGCACTGCTGAGGGGAAGGTCGAGGGCAGCCCTTCTGGGCTGAGGAACCTCTCGCCCCCTCAGGCGTCCATGACACGTGGCCACTTCATGGACTATCAGGAAGCCTGTCTTGTAGATGGAAACAGAATCTGACCAGAGCTCTGCCCATTCTTGCCGCACTGCTGGGTACACTCCAAGCTGGCACAAAAGGGCCCCTCCCTGGAGAGTGTGGCTCCTTAGACTCCGCAGGCCAGTAAAGCCCTCCTCGCCAGCATGGCGCCCTGACATAGGTTGCCGCCTCACTTTGTTTCCCTACCATCTTGTTCATACAGGGGGTAGGGGAAAGACATTTCTGCAAATGTGATAGGCTGTGTGCTCAGGAGTTCAGTGCGAGGTACCTGGTTTGCTCCTCTGCTTGGTGAAGAACTATTCAAACGCTTGTCAAGGGGATGGTCCTCAGGAGCGGCAGGGCCCTCTGGGTGAAGGCATAGGGCCACGTGGGCACAGTGGGGTGTATGTGTCCCTGCTCCCCCACTGACTTCTCTGCCCGCCCCTCCTCTCCCCTCTCCACAGAGACCTCAGCCAAGGAAGGGCTGCTCTTGTGGTGTCAGAGGAAGACGGCCCCTTACAAGAACGTCAACATCCAGAACTTCCACATAAGGTCAGTGGCTGCTCTAGAACCTGGCTCTCTTCCCTCCAGGGTCTCCTGAGCAGGGCCCCTGGGTTGGTCCGTCTCAGCTCTAGAACACAGCAGAGACTGTTTGGGATGACGGATGTAGCACCATCCGTTAGAATCTTACGCCCCCAGCCCTTCCCAGGACATAGTTACTGCCTGGATACATCCCTGGTGACGCTCATGCTACTGAGAAGTTCCGACTGGAACAGAGCCGGCTAGGGGCACAGACCTGGGGGGGTGTGGGTAGATAGGGCGGGCTTGTCCCAACTGGCCAACACCCCACAACATCTTAGTACCTGGGTCTATGGCAGGGAGGCATGAATGCCCCTCCCCTCCTGCCTTCCCCCGCTCCCCATCTCTGGGAACAAAGACACCGACGCTGCTTAGTGTGGTGCCCTGGGCTGGTGTTGAGGGGATGCAGCTAGGGAGTCTGCTCATCTGCCCTCACTCACCTGTTTACCCCCTTTCTCCTCCCGGGACAGCTGGAAGGACGGCCTCGGCTTCTGTGCCTTGATTCACCGACACCGGCCTGAGCTGATCGACTACGGGAAGCTACGGAAGGTACGTGTGCTCTCCTGGCACCCACTGGTCTGGGGCTGCTGTAACAACAACAGAATACCACAAGGGGGTGCCTTTAATGAACAGACCGTTATTTCTCACTGTTCTGAGGCGTGTGAACCGTTCGTGCGGATTCTAATCAGAGGTGTCAATGGAGTGCTAGTGGAGCTGTGGACACGGGGGTGCCCTGCTAACTGCATGGGTGCCAGTGCAGACCCGCCAGTCGCTCTCTCCTCAGGAGAAGGATGAGGTTGCCCACTCCCGTAAAGATCTGCACCCTCACAAACCCGCTATAGGGTGTAGTCATCTCCCGCACCCAGCCCGCCAAAGAAAGGTGCCAGGAGTTCAGCCACTGGAGGCCAAGGGACCTTGGTGACAGCAGGCTCCCTCTCCGCTTTGCACCCGACCCAAGCCAGTGGTATTTCCAATGGCGTGAAAGTTGGAGCGCCGCAGATAGGGTTAAGCTGGAGAAGAATGGACGCACTTGGATTAGGGGTGGGCAGGGATCCTGAGAGCACCGCGGACTGCCGGAAGAACAGACACGCCTGCCTTGGACAAAGTACAGCCCGCGTGCTCTTTCGAGAGACTGTCTCTCGCCCTTGGCCGTGGCCTCTGGAACAGCAGTCCCTGGAGAGTCGCGTTGTGCCAGTGGTGAAGTCGGGGGGCAGAGAAGAGGATGACTGTCGATGGGTGAGGGGCGCAGGGCTGAAACAGAACATGGACAGCAGGGACTAAGGGCAGCGCAGCTGGGCGGTGGTGTTTCACGCCCGGGAACCAGGATGGCAGGGCCAGAACGAAGGGCCGGCCCGCAACAGTGGGGGCGCCGGCAGCTCCCTCCCTCTCTGCCCCTCTCTCTTGTTTTCTTTCTCCCAGTCTGCTGCTCTCTACCCCGGCCCGTTTCCTCTGCTTCTCAGTCTCTTCCCTTTCCATTCGGGGGCCTCCGTAGTAACTGTTTCTGCCACCCACATCCGAGCTCAGACCCGCCCAGGTGAAATAGGAATGTTTCCCTGGAATAAGAGGTGGCAGGAGGCAAAGGGCGCTGCCAGGGGGGCCAAGCAGACAAGGATGCTCCTGCCCTCCTACGCGACCTTGGGGTCGGCAGGGAGAGCTGGTGGCCTCTGTTAGTCCAGCTAGTGGGAGTCACCTGGGGCCTGGAAACAGTGCCCGCCCGTGCCCGGCTGAGTTTTTGCCATCCTGGCGGCTGCCAGAGACTTCCGGTGATGAATCCTTTCCTCCTGAAGGCATCTCCAAGTACTGGACTTCTCCCTCTGCTGCCGCCCTGTAATCCTCACCACGGCAGACGGGAAACAGAGGCCCGGGCTGACGACAGCGGCCGGCTCTTGTGCGTCTGGGGGCGCCAGGAAGAGGGCATGGTTTCGGGAGGCACTCGCTCTATCTACAGTGTTTTCTTTCCTTTGGATTTTTGAACCTGTGATTTGGGAGCGAGTTGGTTTTCCGTTCGCTCGCTCGCACCCACTTCCTCTGTGATGACTCTGCTGGCCATGCCCGCAGGGTAAACGGCCACAGGCCTCTCGCCCTCCCTGGGGCTCCCATGCCCTCCTGTCCCATCCCTCTGCCTCGGAGCTCCGCGTCCTGGCCGTGCTGTCTGCTGCTGCTGGACTGGCGGATGATCCTTGAGTGCATTTTACGGACAGGATTGGTTTCTCGAGGAGGCAGGGGCCACCAGAACAGGCAGCCCACCCTCTGTCATCTTGTCGATTCCGATGGGCCCCCTGGGGTCCCCAGGCTGTGGATCCTTAGGACAAACAGGTGGCCTCATCTTGCTCCTGCAGAGCAGCTGGTGGGTCCAAACTGCCGACCTGTGGTCCGTAGCCCACCTTGCCGCCAGGGCTTCATTCCGGGTAAAGGCGGGCATTCTGTGGGGTATGTGCACCAAAGGGAGCCGATATCGGTTACCCACAGTGGAGTGCCACCTGGCTGGGGCCGAGCAGAAACCAGAAGCAAGACCGCTGGTGCCGAGACCAGTCCCCTTCCCCTCGTCGCTGCCACAGCGGCTAGGATGTCGTCCTACCCTCCCAGCCCGTGACCCCCGGCCCGGGGTCAGCCTGCTTCTCCCAGGAGCGTGAGAGCGGCTGTTAGAGAGTCCTTCTGCCCTCCAGGTCTGGTCTGGCACTCACCCCCGGGGTAGCCGGGGTCTGATCTCGGCTCTCTCTTCATCACCCCTTGGCCCTCTAGGATGATCCCCTCACCAATCTGAACACTGCCTTTGACGTGGCAGAGAAGTACCTGGACATCCCCAAGATGCTGGATGCTGAAGGTAAGGGGGTCCTGCCTCTGCTCCCACTGTCTCCCAGCAGCCTGAGGCCAGGGGTGGGGTGGGGGTAGGGCAGCACCCTGAGGACGAAAGGGGGAAGCCCTGGGACTCTGGACCCCCAAGGTCGCCTGCCTGTTGCCTGGGACTCTGGAGTCCCCTGAAGTTCGGCGAGAGTTGGGTAGCTGACGCTGAGGAGGGCTTGGATGTTGTTGGTGCAGAGGCTGCCTGGGGCTGGCCCTCACCCTTGCCTGGGAGTCGAGGGAGTGGAGGTGTGTTTGGCCAGAACCCCAACAAGGGCTGTGCAGCCTCGGGCGAGGGCGCTCGGCTCAGCATCGCGGCTGCACTCCCCTGGGTTTCCAGCCCCAGCGCCCTGGCTCACAGATCCCAGCCCGAGCCAGCGGGTCCCATGGGGAGTGAGGAGGGCCGGGGTCCCAGTGAGGACTGGCTTCCCTGGCCATGCCGAGGGCCTTGCGTGCCAGACCTTACAGCGGGCACCGCCTTGTGGCCTTTGCTATTGAGTTTGACCCGATCATGTCTTCGCAAAGACATGGCCTGGGTGGGAAACCCAAATCTTCTTGGCCCTGGAAGCCAGCCCATCATCACCTCTCACTGAAGGGTATCTGGAGGGGTGTGTCTGGAGGGGAGGAAGGGCAGGGGTGAATGCCTGCTTCAAGGCTGAGCCCAGTCTCATCTCCTTGCCCCCATCTCTGTCCCCGCCCCACGTGCCTTGCCCTCCGACCTCCTCAGCTGCCTCTGTTTGGAGCCTGGCTGCTCAGGAAGTGCTGGGGAGGTATGCAGAGGCAGGTGGGGACTGTGGTGGTCCCCAAAGCTGCTTCCTCGCCCTCCACTTCCTCCTCTCCTACCTACCAGGTGCCTTGTTTTTTTTTAAAGATCATTTTGTTGGGGGCTCTTACAGCTCTTCCAACAATCCACGCATCGATCGCATCGAGCGCATTTGTACATAGGCTGCCTCCAGATGCCTTTTGGACCTCAGCGTCTCACCAAGAAAATTTCCAAACACATCATCCCAAAGCAGAGAGGCGTGTCCACGAACCTCCCACTGTCCGATGTGACAGTTACTGAGATTTACCACACCTGCTCAGTCTAAATGTTCTCCCCCGTACACACTTCCAAATCCCTGCCTTCTACACCAGGATTTTCACACCCACGGCACTTCTTCACAGGCAGACCAACAGCGGATGAATGGCCTCCCAGACGGCTGTGGCTCCAGGCTAGCCTTTGTCTCCGCCCCTCCAACAAGTTCTCCTTCCCCGTGAGGACCACTGTCCTCGCTTCTGGCTGAAACTCCGCCCTAGCATCCCCCCTCCTCCCCCTTATCACCAGGGACAGCGACTGTCAGGCAGTGGAACACCTACTGTCCCACCTCCCTGGTGACCTCTCTGCAGGGTGGGCAGGGAGGAACCCTGCTTTACAGAAAAAGGCTGAGCTGAGGCAACGTCTAACAGGGAAAACCATCCCCAGAGCCACCCCAGCAAGGGCCACCAGTTTAGCAGACAGAGACAGGCTGGCCCACCTCACCTTCTACATCATCATTCCGTCCATCTGTCAGTCTGCCCCTGGTTTGTGAAAGTCACATCCCCATGCTCCCGAAGGGCCTTGGGCCTTGTTCAATGCTGGTCTCTCTATGAAGTCCCCCTGGTGTTGCCTTCTCACTCCCCACACCTCCCTTGCTGGACCACTGCTGCCCCTCTCCTTCCCCCCCCGCCCCTGCACGTTCCCACCCTGGGCCAGACTGGTGTACTTGCTGTCCGTGACCCCCAGCTGGAAGCTGAGGGGCATGGGCAGGCAGGGAGGTTATTCTCCCACATAACAGTCAAAACCACTCTTGACCTGACTGGTTGACGTGAAGGGTCTCTGGTCACTTACCACGTGGCCTTTCAGAGCTGGCTGGCCTTCCCTGGGACCTTAGAAAGCGGGACACAGAGGACACAAGTGGTTCTCTTTCTTAACTCTCCGCTCACCCAGAACATACCCCTTTCTGCCGTGGGGCTTCTTGCAGGGCCGGGCCCACGGTCCCCAAGAGCGGTCCTTATTCTGGGATGCTGATGTGTGCCACCAGATAGCTCATTCCTTGAGTTGTGTGTTCCCGAGGATGGAAGCTGGCACCGCAGCGCGGTGTGGCTCGGGCCGACGGTGCTGGCGAGGAGACCTGGTGGAACCGTGTCAGGAGAGGGCAGTGGCTGGCTCTGACTCTGGGTATCTCTCGACAGACATCGTGGGGACGGCCCGACCGGACGAGAAAGCCATCATGACTTACGTGTCTAGCTTCTACCACGCCTTCTCCGGAGCCCAGAAGGTACCTGGGCCCCCAGCTCCTTCCATACCCAGCACACCTCATGCCGGACTCCCACACCATGTCCCCCATTCCTGCCCGCCTCTCCCAGGTCCCTGGATGATGTGGTTTTTTTTGGTAGAGGTAGTGGCTGCTCCCCCCTCCCCCCTCCCAGTGGCTTGTTGTTTCTGTTTGGCTAGCCCACCATGATCCTCCTCTCCTTCCTCACCTTCCTCCACTGTCTCCAGAGACATTCAGCCTAGCGTTCACTCTGGGACCCAGGCGGCTGGTGGGCTGTGCGGTGCAAGCAGACCAGGTGCTCTGCAGCCCAGCGGCGCCTCCGTTGAAGCGACTGCAGGGGAGGAGGTCTGGGTCGGGGGACACCTCTTCACAGCCTGGAGAGATGTCTCCTGGCCTCATTTAGCTGTTTTGTTTGCCAAGTAATCCCCATTCCCCCACCTGGGCCCCAGCCCCTGCCTAGAATTCTACCATTCATGGACTCGACGTAGCTAGCCTGTGCTGCCCTTGTGGACACCCTGCCCGAGTGCCCCATGTGGTCACTTGCTCTCTCTGTCCCCCTGTGTCAGTCTGGATAGACTAGGGAAACAAATTCATAGACACTCATGTGTATAAGAAAGAGGTTTCTATACAAGAGCAATTGAATATTGAGAAAATAT